AGGAATTGGTAAAGAAATGCTTTGTTTGTTTCAATTTTGTCTGGCAATGTAGGACATGAGGGCCGGATAGGGATGGCAGCTGTCACTGTGAATGAAGGTGCCCAGTTTGATGGAAGTAGAATATATAACCATGTGGTTAACTACCTGCCTTCATATGCCCGACCTCGCTTTATAAGAATACAGGTATGTTTATTTCATACACACTTTACTGCATTTCACTTTTGGTAGAAACTGTATATTAAATTGAAATAATACAAAATATTTGAAAAACAAACATTGTTCTGTTGTAAAGGAATGTTTCTATCACTTGTCAATATTGGACGATGCATTTTTCTCACAGTGTCTGCAGCATGTGATGAGAAGCAGTAGTGATATTTTGATACTGTACTTGACTGAGTATTTTGTGCCTGTCGTCTGTCTAGAATGCAGTGGAGGTGACAGGGACTTTCAAGCAGATGAAAGTGAAGTTAGTGGAGGAGAGTTTCGATCCAGGGCGTATCCAGGACCCTATTTACATCCTTGATGGTAAAGAGAAGAGCTACCTACCGCTGACGGCTCAGGTCTACTGCTCCATCGTATCAGGAAACATCAAACTATGAGTAGGAACTTAGAGTACAAAAAACTGTGCTTTCAGTCCAGCTGCATTTATACTTTTGATAATGAACCTTCAGCTCAGCGACTAAACAAATATTTTTTACTAATACTCATATTATTTGAGTGTAGTAAAGTAATATGGATAAATAACACGTAGTAGACGGGAGATGCTGCTGTTGCTTAATTCCGTCTAATAAAGGTGTTATTATAAGTGTTGCTTTATATATCGATAAACAGATGTAGTGTTTAATGAGACGTTTCCGGAGAACAAACTTTAAGACAGCGGCTATTGGACTTTTTCTCAGGTAGTATCTGATGTACTAATGAATACTTTGCTTATAGGAAAGACACGAGTATCATGTAAAATGGTTTGAGAGTTTGTAATGGTACATTTTTACTTAGTGTATATTTCTACTTAGTTTTCTCTGAACTCAGTTGAACTTCATTGTGTTGGCGTACATGCCCAGATGTATCTTTCTGATTGTTGCGCAAAAGAAGAATTCAACCTTGCCGGCGCACAAAGATAACTGTAACTGTGTTGTATGAGAATGTTCCAGCACCAAGGTCGTCCCACCGCTTGTTTTTGATTGCTGGACGTTTGTTTTTCATTGTTGTTTCTATCAGTTTGAGACCAAAATGTCTGTACCATTGCCCCCACCGTTGCTCCTTCTGTAAAAAGAAAGTGCGTTCACTTTACACGGGGTTCTTCCTCACTGAGACTGTTTGCATTCTGTTGTGATGATTGAATGCTCTCTGTGCAAAGAATAAATACTCAAAAGGCAACCTCTGGTTTTTTTCGG